CCTTCCTTCCTTCCTTCCTTCCTTCCTTCCTTCCTTCCTTCCTTCCACTGGAGATTGAACCCAGGGCCTTGTGCATGCAAGGCAAGCACTCTGCCAACTGAGCTATATCTCCGGCTTGAGGTTTATTATACCTTAATTGCCAAACTCATGGCAATTAAGGTATATGGCATTTGACTTAATATGATATTGTATATAATTTAGAGGTCTTGCCAATCCTTTATATAAATTTAAAATGTTAAATAGATGAGTCATCTCTAATTGTTCAGCAGGTATACTTGCTATGGAAGAAAAACCAAAAAATATTTTTGGATCATTTTGAATCATTGAAGTAGTCAAGAAAACTAAAATATATATAGGAGAGATTAAAGTACTTATGTTAAAACCAGCTTTATTACACAGCTTTAGATGATAGAAAATAGATGTGATATGAAAAGAATAACTTGAAAAACTGGTTGGTTGGACCCGAAATTGTATGCTTAAGTATGAACATTTAATGCAGTTTTAAAAGATACACATTATTACACTCTTAAGTTATAATTTCTTGGAAAAGGGAAGGGGAAAGAATTACTTTTTTTGGGGGGAGGGTACTGAGGATTGAACCCAGAGGCACTTTTATCACTAAGCCACATCCCCAGCCATTTTTATTTTTTATTTTGAGACAGGGTCTCTGTCTCAAATGCTTAGGGCATTACTGAGTTGCTGAGGCTTGTCTAGAACCTGTGAGCCTTCTGCCTCAGCTTCCCAAGGTGTTGGGATTACAGAAGAATTACGTTTTCTACATCAGATAAAGCTATTAGATTTATTAGGTTGCTAATATAGTCAGCTTAAGTTTATCAGATTGCTAATATAGTAGGCAAAAATAAAAAAAGTTTAAAAGTTTCTACCTTGTGATTTATTTCTGCAAATCTGTGCTAAGAATGTGATTAGAAGCTGGGTGCTACCAGTGCTCGCCTCTGTTTCTAGCAACTTGGAAGCTCACAGGAGGATCACACGTTTGAGGCCAGGCTTGTTTTAGAAATTTTATCCCCAATCCCCATCCCTGCTTAAAAAAAGAAAAAAAGTCCATTGGATATATACACAGATTGGCGCATAATACATGCAGAATTTGTGACAGGATTATTTGTAAGATTTAAAAATTGGATGCCACAAATAAAGTTTGTTATCAGTAGCAAAAAAAAAACAAAAGCTTTTTTTTTTTTTATGTTCTCAGTGACCATGTATTGCTTATTCAGAGAATTCATAGTTGCACTTTAAAAATATGGAGGTTGCAGCTGGGATTGTGGCTCAGTGGTAAAGCCTTGCCTAGCATGTGTGAGGCTCACTGGGTTTGATTCTCAGCACCATACACAAAGAAATAAATAAGGTTGGCCAGGTATGGTGGCTGTGGCATATGCCAATGATTCCAGTGACTGGAGGCTGAGGCAGGAGGATTGTGAGTTTGAGGCCAGCCTCAGGAACTTAGTGAGGCCATGTCTCAAGATAAAAAAAATAAAAAGGTTGGTGATGTGGCTCAGTTTATAAAAGCACCTTTGGGTTCAGTGTCTAGTACCAAAAAAAAAAAAAAAAAAAAAAGACCAGGCAATAAGCATTTACTGGCCTTTCTCTGCCTGTCATGCTCCCTGCAGGCACCCGGAAACAACAGATGAGGGTTTGTGGGTGGTGGTGTTTTTTTTTGTTGTTGTTGTTTGTTTGTTTGTTGCATTGCTGGTGTTTAACCCAGGGCCTCTTGCCTGCTGGGTAAGTGCTGTACCACTAAGCTGTACCCCAGCTTTTTATTTTTATTTTGGCACAGAGTCTCACCAAGTTTCCCATTGGTCTTGAGCTTCTGATGGCCTGCCCCAATCTCCTGAGGAGCTGGGTTAGTTGTGTGCTGTGACACCAACTTCAAAGTAGATTAATTCTTGTATATGTCTGTGGCGGGGGGTTGCTTTGGGGGATGTGCCCCAGGGCGCTGTACTGTATCCCCAGCTCTTTTAATTTTGAGACAGAACCCTAGTAAGTTGCCCAGGGTAGCCTCTAATTTGTAATCCTTTGCCTCGGCCCCTGTCACTGGGATTACAGTTGTGGCCATCATACTTGGCTTCCCACAGGTTAATTCTTCTTTTTCTTTTTCTTTTTTTTTTTTTTTTTTTTTTTTTTGTGATGGTGCTGGGGATTGAACCCTGGGCCTTGTGCATGTGTGTGAGGCAAGCACTCTACCTACCAATTGGGCTATATTTCCAGCCCTGGTGCTCTTTATTCCTACATTGTAATAGATAAATA